TTGTCTCTTCATTTGTACAGAAGTTTTAAATTTTAACATATTCAAATCTGCTCATTTTTTCTTCACAGGTTGCTTCTTTTGCTTTAAAGCCATGAAAATTGTTACTCCTGTGCAGAACTAATAAATATTCTATTCTCTGCTAGTGCTTCTATCATTTGATTTGCAATATTCAACTCTCTGGAACTTACATTTGGTGAAGGTCCAATTGATATCTTACTATATCCAAACCATTTATTAAATAATCTATTAAATAATTCTTCTTCATTGCCTTATTTTGAAATTTTAGCATATTTGAGTTATAGTCAGGAAATTATTCCAATTTATTTTTTAAAGTACAAGAACCTCAAAGTAAAAATCCAAATATACATAAGAGTTTTATAAGAAATCTCAGTAAGAGATTATGAGCAAATCAAGACATCATCAAGCCATTTCATCTTCAGTGGGGCATCAGTCAACTGAGCCATAATTTCAGTCTAAAATCAGTTCTTCCCATTCAGTTCAAGGCTTTGAGTATGTAATTGTGGGGTATATAAGTATACAGCAGCTGAGTCACCAACTGTTTGAATTCTCTGCTTATTTTATGGGGAGGGGTTACTTCTTGGGTGGCAATGTTATTCTAACCCTGACACACCTGGAAATAATACCCCTTGCCCTGAGAAAAAATAAAAGAAGTCCAAGAATTCATTGTTTAACTGGTCAAGATTCCAAATCATGGATTTTTACTCTATTGATTTTTCCTCCAGATCTACTAGAAACCTACCATACATAGTGTGTACTATGTAAATCGGCTCTTGCGTTTTAGGTTCTAATGTCTGCACCTTGCCATTCCCATCAAGACACGGCTCCTGGAAAGCCAAGCCTGAGTCTACTCGCCAATGAAAGAAGGAGGGACTCAAGTACAATCATTGCAGAGACCTCTATGTGAGCCTTACCCACAGTGGACACTCAGGAAAGGCTGCCAATGGATCAACTATCTTAGCATCTCAGTCATTAGCGATGCTTGAAGAAAAAAAGAAAAACAACATATTATCATTGACAGCTTTCATCTGAATTCATCTCCCCTACACAGTAATGTGGACAGATTTTTGCCATCAGTTCACACCCTGAAGCACAAGCCATGATGATCTTTCTTTCCATTTGCATAGCTAGGACTCGTCATTATCCAGCCCTATTTTTTTGACTCAACAAAACAGAATTGCACCATTAGGATTTCAGCATGTCTATTCTTGCAGTAACTATTTTGAACTGGGTTCTTTTAGAAGCAACCACTGTATGAAAAAAAAATTATAACCTCGAAGGTTCATACATAGCTTGGTTTTAGAATCTGAGCTTTCCTAGTTCAATTCCCTGCTGCTTTTCCAACCAGAAAAGAAATGGCTGGGAGGTTCCTCTGGACCAAGGCACTGGATGGCAGTGCTCAGCCTGGCATTCTCTGCTTTTAATCCTCTCCACCAAAAATGAACTAGAGACAGCATCACCATCAAAGGTACAATTACTGAGCATCTAATGTTTTCCAAGCTCACTATTAAATATGTCACCTGTTATATATGGTGCTGTTTTTCTTACCAAAAAATAAAAAAATCCTAGGATGTATTTCTTCCACATCTTTGAAAAAATTGCTCAATTTAACATTATGCTTAACTATTAAGTGTAGTTTTAGAGATCTTGCTTAATTTTTAATCTAATACGTGAACAGCATATTAAGAAATGTGATATTCCACTTTACAATACTGTCTCATATATAAAATAGGAAACTCGAACTATAACACTGTCCTCTGTGCTTCTCTCTTTTCTGTCAGAGAAGAATGGACACTTTTGTCATGCAGCATAAGGAGGCCAAGGAAGAAGAGGGATTATCTTACAAACTGGCAAAGCAATCACATTCAGCTCCTCCCACCACTGTCCCCATCCTCCTCCCAAGCCCCGAGGAGGCTGGAGAAAGAGGCAGAGTTACCTGCTAACCCATCCTGTCTGGGCTGCCTCTCCCTGCCTCCCTCCTAGCACTTGCCCAGGGCTGGACCCTGGAGAGCCAGGCACGCCTCCCAGGAGGTCCCCAGGGAGTAGAAAGCAAATGCCAGGGATACCAGAAAAAGACGCAATTCCTCAACTGTACTGGGAGAAAGACATCTAAAAACATATATAAGCGAAGACATTTTATTCTTGGGTCTAAGCACTAAGTCTTCTGGTGGAGGTCATCACAGCCTGGTGAGTCTGCAAGAGGCTGCCCAGTGCTCCTTCCAGTAAGGGTCACTGCAGCCTGTGCTCATTCCCACTTTGAAGATTCAAACCCACAGCAGTACATTTTCCCTGAAACATGCAGGCTTCCTTGAGACTCTGAGAAGCAGGAGAAAGCAGGCATTTGCAAAGCCTGAGGGTCGCAGCTGGGACAGGCGCAGGAAGGACACTAATTGAAGTCAGGTCCCTGGGGTCACCCTGTCCAAGTGAGTGTTGCTTCACCCTGCAGGGAACCGCCCCTCTAGAAGCCTCATTAGGAGGAAATGCCAGCACCACCGATGGCTCCTGACTGTTGGCCCCCACCCCTTGAGGGCATGGCCTTTCCCAAGAGACCCTGCAGCTCCTCCCACCGACAAGGATTAGAATCCCTGGCCCTTTGACCTTGGGCTTGCTGGCCTGGACTCTCTGTTGATGCAGAGAGCCCAGGCCTTAAGCAGTCTCGCAGGATTCCTCTCAGCCTTTCCAGCTCTGCCACAGCCTTGACAGGAGCTACCCTGGGACCACAGCTGCCCTCAGCCTGGACCCCACATGGAGCAGACATGAACCAACCTGCAGGCCCAGTCAGGGCCACGGCTTGAGGCTTGGCCACTAAGTGAAGCCCAAGGTGGAGCCGCCAAGCTCCACCGCCAACCCACCACTGCAAAAGTCACAGTAAATCACCATTGTCAGCTGCTGTGTTATGTTTGTTACCCAGCATTATTATGCCAACAGCTAACTGATACACAGTCTAAGAAACTGCTCATGGCAAATATGCTATGTCCCCTTGCCCAAAATATGACGACTACATTTTAATAAGTTCTTACTATGGGCCCATTTTGGTAAGAGTATTGGTACTGCAAGGAGATCCAACCAGTCCATCCTAAAGGCGATCAGTCCTGAGTGTTCATTGGAAGGACGGATGCTGAAGCTGGAAACTCCAATACTTTGGCCACCTCACGCAAAGTGTTGACTCATTGGAAAAGACCCTGATGCTGGGAGGGATTGGGGGCAGGAGGAGAAGGGCACAACAGAGGATGAGATGACTGAATCACCGACTTGATGGCATCACCGACTTGATGGACATGAGTTTGAGTAAACTCCGGGAGTTGGTGATGGACAGGGAGGCCTGGCGTGCTGCGATTCATGGGGTTGCAAAGAGTCGGACCTGACTGAGTGACTGAACTGAACTGAACTGATGGGCTCACTTTGGTAAGAGTATTGTGGTTTAGTGGTGGTTGAGTCATTAAGTCCTGTCCAACTCTTGTGACCCCATGGACTGTAGCCCACCAGGCTCCTCTGTCCATGGGATTTCCCAGGCAACAATACTGGAGTTGCCATTTCCTTCTCCAGGGGATCTTACCAAACCAGGAACTGAATGTGCGTCTCCTGCACTGCAGGCGACTTCTTTACTGACTGGGCCCCCAGGGAAGCCCCCAAAGGGGGGTGTATTTATTGTTTCCTCACAAGAACCCTATCAGACAAAAAGGACCATTGTCCCTATTTGAAAGATGAGGCAACAGAGACACAGTTAAGGAACCTGCCCATGGCTGGAAGGTAGTAAAGGCAGGTTTCAAACCCCAGTCACCTGCACCAGGAGCCCTTGCTTATTAACTTTATGCTCAATGACCTTGCAAAGCTCCTCCCATACTTTCCAGTCTGCCTGACATTCTGCTCTGGGTTCCCACGCCCTAGGGCTAAAACCCAAACTGACAGGCAGAACAGTCAAGTATCCAAGATCCTTCCCAGCCTGATTCTGCTCATCCCATCCAGGTTCTTGCCCCCTCCTCATCTCTCCCTCAAGGTTGGCCCAATGACAACTCTGGGCTCCTACACTTGACCAAGCCTACCAAGTCCTTTGCCTCCCCCTGGAATCCCCCACTTTCTGGAGCACCTCAAGGTCATCCCTCTGGGGTACCTCCTGCAAGAACACTTCCTGCCCCAGCCAGGAGCATGTGACTACCCATCCTGAGTGTCCCCAACACCAAGGACCTTCTTGAACGTGCAGTGAGCACTGCAGGCTGTCACCACTCAGCTCCTGCCTGAGCCTGGCCACGTGCTCCTTGAGGGCAGCGCCTGGGTTCGTTCACTTCTGTCAGCCCCGTGCTCAGCAAGCCCCATGCTCTCATCAGGGAACTAAAGGAGAGTCTGCTAAGTTACAAAACAGTGAAAGGAACACAACATGATGGAGAAATGGATATGGAGACACAATGTCCAAATTTTCATTCTTGAACAACACGTCTTCATTCCTTATAAACATTAATCAAACTGCTCAAAACCCCTGGGTCTCCAGCTACATATTTGTCAATTAAAATAGGTCTATCATGATGGTCTCCTCTGCCAAACCTTCCTCATAGGCTTCTGTTCTCATCAGGTTGTCTTGGGATAAGTAACAAAAGGCATGATATTTGCTTGAAACAGCAGGGAAATTGAAGGCCTAGTTCCTAGACGTTCAGTCCTGGCAACACAAGAGCACATGTACTATCATTTCAAAAGAAAGAAAGGAAAGTCTGTTGCAGAGGGAGTCACATAATGAATATGTGAAAGGAGAATGATCTCAAGACAAAACCAGATAAGTGATGACTTGACACGAAGGAAGAAAAGCAAGTGACTCCTGAGAGAGGCCCAGCGCTCAGAACCCCAACTTGCAGCTGACAGGTAGGTGGCTGTCATTGCCTTAACCTCAGAGACACCAGTAAAGGCCAGGACTCAGCACCCAGACAGCACCTGCGGAAAGCTGACTAAGGTAGAGGGGTATAGGTTGCAGCTGCCCTCAGCATCATACAGCCATGTCCAGGAGCCGGGCCCCAAACGTGGAGAAAAGGGGAAAACTAAATCCAGTAAGAGTGAACTACTCTGTCCGCGAGTCAGAGGTTGAAATCCCACAAACACAGACTCCTTTCCTCACTGCAGCTTCACGTTCACTAATGAGCTGTGTTTCTGTTGCCGAGGATACACGTCCCTGGTGTTTCCTGGCAGAGACGGGGGAGGCCGGGATAACGGGCGTTCCTGACCCCTGTCTCATTCAGCAGGGGCAGGGTGTCACAGAGACAGCTGCAACGTAAGAACAAGAAGATCCTCGAGATCAGACCACCGAATAATTTTCACTTTCCAGTCACGGCTTTGTTCAAACGACAGCTTGCAGAAGCACAGCTACGAGAGAGGAAGCGAAGGCTGCTCCTTTCCGCGGGCAGGGCCAGGAACAGCCTCGGAGCTGGCTGATGGCAGCTTGGGGACCTGGTTTGGGAATCACTACTTAGGTCAGCCCTGCGTGTTGCAATATGGAAACCACAGCTCAGAGAGTAAGGCGACTCATCCGGGGCCATGGAAGCCAGAAGGACAAAGCTCGGGACTCCAGTTCCTGACTCCCGACCAAACACTGCTTCCTCCACACGGTGCCACCCCCTCTTCTAGGAAGGGCCCTCCACACCCTTCCCAGAGCAAGATCCAGACCACTCCAGGGCTTAGACTGAGGTAAAGAGGGACTCAGCGACAACATGCCTTGCTGATGCATTTGTCACACACAAGAGGCAAAGCTCTGTGTTTACCATCCCATGCTCCTACTCCCCCGCCCAACTGCCCCCAACATAGGCAAGTCATCAGAGCCTTTCAATGGCCTGAAATTTCCCGAGCTCCCCTGCCCCATCCATTTCCCTCTCTGTAGCATTTCCTGCAGCACTGAATCAAATGACCGCCTGCGGTGCTGTGACTCTTCTCTTTGCTGGATTTGTCCCTTACACAGTATGTGCTAGGTTTTAAAATGCTGTTTGCTCCACTTTTAAATTTCATTTTAGAAGCCTACAAGGAGAGATGCCAATATTTAAGCACAGGGACTAGAGGGGACTTTACAAACTGCTTACGAGGCACAGAGTAGTTATTTTCTTATTTCCCTTTTGATGGAAATGGCTACTGTATCATACACAGTAACAGTGTGAACCAGAAAGCACTCCTGCATCCTTATCTTACCCTCACATAATCAAAAAGAAAAAAAAAACTCATTGTAATAGAAAAGAAAAGAGGAAACCAGAACTTCATATTTGCTTGAAATTTAATTAGACTTGAAAGGTTTGTAGGGACAATTCATTTCCTTTTGTAGTCTAAGACCATAAGCTTCACATTCCATTTTACCAGAGGAATGATAAAAAGTAACCACATGTTATTTTAATTGTAATAATAAATAATATATAACAAAGTTAGATTAAAAGTTTCTTTTAAATAGCCAAGTGGAAACACATGTTCCCTACCATTCTGAATTGACATTTTTAAAAAGCCTCTGTAAACATTTTTAAGGCATGTGTCTATTTAATTGCTTTTGTTAACACCACTTGCATTCTTTTCTAGAAAGATGACTTTACAGTAAGCAAACGGGTATGTCTTTATATGTGTCCTAGTTAATCCTCCGAATTGACAAGTTTAAAATGGATGGAGTATGCTCTTTACAAAAAATGTTGAATGCACAATTAAACAGGACAGGAAACCTCCCATAACCTATGGGTCACTCAGATTTGGAGTCAGATAACATCCCTGTCCTTGTCAATTCCACGTCATCAACACCTATCAGAAGGACAATGCTGAGTAGTCTTCGAGGGCAAAGTGAAGCAGGAATCCTAGACAAGTCACCCTGAAGATGAACATGGGGGATGGTGTTATAGTACCCCAACCAGACACAACAGATGGAGCCAGGAAGTGGACTGAACAAGAATTGCCTCTGTACGGAAACTACTGTGCACGTGTACATTGGTGGGGTTTCCCAGGTGGCATGGTGGTAAAGAACCTGCCTGCCAACACAGGAAACATAAGAGACCTGAGCTCTATCCCTAGGTCAGGAAGGGAGAAGGGAATCCCCTTAAGAAGGGAATGACAACCCACTCCACTATTCTTGCCCGGAAAATTCCATGGACAGAGGAAATTGGCAGGCTACAGTCCATGGGGTCACCAAGAATTGGACACAACTGAAGCAACTTAGCATGCCCGTGTACGTTCATGTGTGTCTGTGTATGCGATAAAACATTTCAGAGTGAGAAGAGTTGCTCACTGCTGATAAGAGAAAACAGGAACTGTAGAATAAGGTAAGAGGTTCTTCCTATTAAAAAAAATATAAGGTCAGATATTACTAACAGTGTTTACAAGCCTCTAGTTCCAAAATTATTTGATTCTATAGGGTAGAAAGTGAATGTTCCATCAGAAAACTAAGATCCAAAAATACTAACAGTGAAGCTCACCTCTTCTGACAGGTTACCCTGTGATGGAAACCACTTGCCAGAATATTAAACTTCCTGTTTCCTGTCTCCCTCAAAAGACTTTTCCACAAGCACCCTAGGGGCACAGCCTGTGTTTAATTCAACCCTGTGATCCCACATGGTACCTGAAGTTCACAGTGGGAAACCAAAACTGCAGAAATATAGGGTAGAAAATATCATAGGAAAATTTAAGTTTTATTTTAAAATAGTGAATGCATACATAATAATAAATAAAAAATTTAATCAAACGCCTTGGTACCTAGATGTTACATGAATAAACACCTCAATTAAAATGCTTCTTTTCTAGCAACTACTATGCCAAGCCTTCCAATGCACAGGACAAAGGGAATGTTTATTGTGTGATTTTATTGTTTTGATTGTCTATTATTCTTCCTCCCCTTGGAGGAACCAAGCAGCAACTCCTGCCCCATCATTCAGATTCTTAGAACATAAAAACAATCACCAAAAACAAGCATAAATAATACTCACCATCTCATTAACCAGGAACATTAGACAGGAACAAAACAAAGGTGTCTCCTCTCATCACTACTATTCAACATTGTACTGTCACTTCTAGCCAAGGTAGCTGGGCAAGAAAAAGAAACAAAAGGAATCTCTGCCGGAAATAAGTAAAACTATCTCCATTTTTAGATGATCTTGTATACAAAAATTCTAATGAATTCACTAAAAAATCATTAGAGCCCATAAATAAGAAAACCTTCAGCAAGGTTTCAGGATACACAATCAAAACATAAGAATCAATTGTATTTCTATGCAATACCAATAGAAAATCCAAAAATAAAATTAGGACAATTTCATTTACACTGCAGCAGAGAGAATAAAATTCTCAGTAATAAATTTAACAAAAGAAGTGCAATACTTGAACACTGAAAATTAACAGCATCATTGAAAGAAATTAAAGAAGACCTAAATAACTGGAAAAACATCCTATGTTCATGTCGAGAAGACAATATCGTTAAAATGCATTAATCCCCAAATTCATCTCCAGATTCAATGTAATCAATATCAAAATCCCCACTGGATTTAATGCCAAAATTAACAAAATAATCCTAAAATTGGTATAGCAATATAAGGTCTAGAATAGCCAAAGGCATCTTGGGTGGGGTAGGGGGTGGAGACCAAAGTTAGAAGACTTATATTTTTAGAATCCAAAACTACTACAAAACAAGAACAATCAAGACTGTGTGTCAGTGACATAAGGATAGATACAGAGATCAACAGAGTAGAATTTAGAACATGGAAATAATTGCATATATTTACAATCAAATGATTTTTTATAAGAGTGCTATGAAAATCAATGGGGGAAACAATACACTTGTCCACAAATGGTGCTGGGACAAATGGATAGTTACATGCAAAAAGAACAAATTTGGATCCCTAACTCACACCATATACAAAAATTACCTCAAAATAGACCTTTTTGTATACAATGTGAGTTAGGGATCCAAATTTATTCTTTTGCATGTCCCAGCACCATCTGTGGACAAGTGTATTCTTTCCTCCATTGACTCATCAGTTCAGTTCAGTTGCTCAGTCATGTCTGACTCTGGAACACCATGGACTGCAGCACACCAGGCTTCCCTATCTATCACCAACTCCCAAAGCCTACTCAAACTCATGTCCATCGAGTCAGTGATGCCATCCAACCATCTCATCCTCTGTTGTCCCCTTCTCCTCCCACCTTCAACCTTTCCCATCATCAGGGTCTTTCCCAATGAGTCAGTTCTTCGTATCAGGTGGCCAAAGTACTGGAGTTTCAGCTTCAGCATCAGTCTTTCCAATGAATATTCAGAACTGATTTCCTTTAAGATCGACAGGTTGGATCTCCTTGCAGTCCAAGGGACTCTCAAGAGTCTTCTCCAACACCACAGTTCAAAAGCATCAATTCTTCGGTGCTCAGCTTTCTTTATAGTCCAACTCTCACATCCATACATGACTACTGGAAAAACCATAGCTTTGACCAGATGGACTTTTGTTGGTAAAGTAATGTCTCTGCTTTTTTCTAGTAATGTCTAGGTTGGTCATAGCTTTTCTTCCAAGGAGCAAGCATCTTTTAATTTCATGGCTGCAGTCACCATCTGAATAGAACTCTACAAAAAATTAGTTGATAATAAATATATACAATTACAACACAAGAGATGACTCTAAACATGGACATAACCAGATGGTCAATATCAAAGTCAGATTGATTATATTATTTGCAGCAAAAGATGAGGAAACTCTACCTAGTCAGTAAAAACAAGACTTGGAGCTGACTGTAGCTCAGGTTATGTGCTCCTTATTGCAACATTCAGGCTTATTGAAGAAAGTAGGGAAAACCACTAGGTCATTCAGGTATGACCTAAATCAAATCCCTTATGATTATACAGTGGAAGTGATGAATAGATTCAAGCAAGGGATTAGATTAGACAAAATACCTGAAGAACTATGGACAGAGGTTCATAACACATATAGGAGGCAGTGACCAAAATCATCCCAAACAAAAAGAAATGAAAGAAGCCAAAGTGGTTGTCTGAGGAGGCTTAACAAATAGCTGAAAAAAGAAGAGACCCAAAGGTAAGGGAGAAAGAGGAAAATATGCCCAACTGAATGCAGAGTTCCAGAGAGGAGCAAGGAGATATAAGAAGGCCTTCAATGAACATGCAAAGAAATAGAGGAAAACAACAGAATCAGAAAGACTAGAGATCTTTTCAAGAAAATTGGAGATATCAAGGGGATATTAATGCAAGGATGGGCACAATAAAGGACAGAAATAGTAACAACCTAACAGAAGCAGAAGAGATTAAGTGGCAAGAATACACAGAAAAACTATATAAGAAAGGTCTTAATGACCCGATAACCATGATGGTGTGGTCACTCACCTAGAGCCAGACATCTTGGGAGTGTGAAGGCTAGTGGACCTTAGGACGCATTACCTCAAACAAAGTTAATGGAAGGGATGGAATTCCAGCTTAATTATTCCAGCTGAGCTATTCAAATCCTAAAAGACAATGCTGTTA